AGAGAGAACGAGCCGTACATGCCCCCATGAACAACCCAGCAAACAACTTGGAGCCTGCAGCACAGCAGCAAAAAAAGTGCTGGATATTCTGTCGTTCTGTCTGCCCGCTGTAGGGCTGGGCGGCCAACGATCACCTGCAGCGAACGCCGCCGACGGAACGAAGCCTCCCTTGAGCGAATCGAACCCTCCCTTTTCTTTGCCCTCTGCCGCCTCCTCGGCGGCTACCTCGGCCTCCGTCCCCGCTATGTACGAGATGGTCAGCGGCAGCAGCGACAGCGCGCAGGGACTGAGCGACATCAAGAGCCCCGTTCCGTACATGACCCCGATGGTGACGGGACTCACGTGGGTCAACTGCGACGACACGGGCCGGAAGAGGGGAGACCGAAAGAGACCCGGTGGGAGGGGGAGATGAGACTGCTGTTGGGTGGAAGAAGTTCCACTGCTCTTCAAGATGGTGGGGTGTGGCATCACACGCTACAGAGTCAGGTTACGCAAGGCCAGATTTGGGCGAATGAGGCTACTAATAACTGATTGGACTGGATGGTGATACCATCCCGCTGCAATAACAGTATCGACGAGCAATCACCGGGTCGAGACCGCCGCACAGCGTTTCCTCACACGAGTTAAATGTGTCGGTACATAGGTACTGCTGTAGAGCCGATGATGCGGTACAACTCGGAAACGCTGCTGTTGTACATGTACCTCTGTCGCGGAGATATCGCCAGCCCATTGCTGAAGCTGAAATAGATCAGTGGCATCGAACATGCTTAGAGACGAAGCAGCGCGTTGTGTTCTTGATCCTTCGGCTCTCGGACGCCGCTTGCTCTGCCGTTGTGCCCATGGTCTCGGTGAGGTGGTTGATGTTCCTGAGCTGGAGGGTGCTCTGGAGCAAAAGCTGTGCTGCGGCGTTAGCTGCGGCGTCGGACGCGGCATTCCAGCGCGGGCATGGAAACCGCTCACACCGCACACTGTTGCTGCTGTGAAGGTGCTAGCCAAGAAGGTCTTCATAGTGTACTATGTGTACAGCTGTGGGCGATTTGGGGTGTGTTCGGATCTGGGGTGTGCTGTCTGTGTGTCGCCAGCCTGGCGCGCCGACACCCCGCCCCCCCCGGTCATGTATGTCCCTTTTCCGTCCCCCCTTCTGGAACCTCAAAGGAACCTCAAGGAACCTCGGACTTGACACATGAATTCTGACGCTGCGTATCGAGCAGGGTGTGGACAATTTTTCTGGAACATATTGATGATATCGCCGGGTTACATTCGAGGCTCTGACGCGAGACGCGAGACAAATTGTCGTGTCGTGATTGCGAGATTGCGAGTTTGCTAGCGAACGGGACTGTCGGAATTTGTTACGATTCGGACTACACACCGATTACGCCGCGTTCGAGAACCTGATGATGATGATGGCATGATGGCATGAAAGCATGATGGCATGAGGCATGATGACATGATGACCCTCGTTCCCTCGTTTCTCTTCGTCTCTGTTTGCTTGTGAGAAAGCATCGTATAGTTCCAATACCAAGCAGGTATCAACACTCACCAAATGGGGTATCCTTGAACGGTTACTGACTGTAGACTATTTTTTTTTTGTACTGTTTTTCTGAGAGAACAACAAGCTCGTAAAAATCTTGACCGACGAACAAGTACATTTTGTGCGGGGCATCTAATGAAGAGCCCAAACACCAATCCATCAAGCATCACGCTCAAAGTCGAGCGAAGATGTGAAGAGATGAATGAATACAGTAGACAGTTGCTCCCGCTCGAAGTACATGGTATTTGGTGAGCCCCAGAGCGAACAAGAAGAAAAAAAGCAGGGAGAGCTGGAACAGAGCAAGCCAAAAGGGGTGGCATTTGCGACAGAGAGGCGACCCCGTTTCGCACACACGGGCGAGCGAGTGCTGAGTGAGGGTTCTCTTCGCCACCTTTACGCGGGATTACGTCTATCGTGCAGGAAGGCAATCCGTACGAAGGGGTGAAGTTGCCTGGGCGGGCCACACTATTTATTTGCTTGTGAAGGACATGCCGCGGTAGTCTACCGTCGGTCTCTTGATCGTTGACAGAGGAGAACAAGCGAGCTGAAGGGTGATGCTTGCCGCCAGGAGTTCCGTGGCCGTAGCATTCAGTTCCTCCTCTCTGTCGCTTGCGGCGTCAGCGGATACTTCTTCGGTGCTGCACCTGAGTACGCCTCGGTTGGTTGCCAGGTCGCCGTCCCTGCTGAAGGCTAACAGGGGTGTAGCAGATGCGTCGGCAATCAGAGGGCCTGCATCCCCATGTGTCTTCACACTGCGAGGAAAGGGGCAGAGAAGAGGGCAAGCAGGCGAGAGCAATAACAAGTCAGCCACGGCCAATGTTCCGAGGAGGGTCATACGCGTCGAGACAGGAGAAGGCTACTCGCCACGACTTCGCATGATGGGCGCGGAAGGATGCATCGACGGGGACGTCATGACAAGAACCAAAACAGCCACGGCTGTGCCTCCTTCTTCGACGGTGTTCGACCCCCGTTCTCAATCTTCACCACAAGCGTCGCCCTCGGCCGCAGCTTCGACAGGTCGTGAACGTGCTGAAAGTGGTGATATTACAGCCATGACCTACAATCGAGCATCATCACCGTACCCTTGCCGGGAAGACACCGCTCCTCTCGAACGAGAGGAGGACCTCCCGCCCGAAGTCGTTGCCGAAGTCACAATGGACGTGGAGGGCAACCCCGCGAGGGAAACCAGGCGGAGCCCATCACACCCGCGAGAACGACCAAGGACGCCTCCCCGAAAGGGGCACCTCTGCGGTCGCCTGTGGACGGGGACAACCGCATGCCCGAAGTCGGATGAGGTCCGCCCACGAGTGCTCTTCCTGGTGTCGGGCCAACAGCAGCGGTTGAAAGAGGCGGTCCGAACAAAGCAAAGTGTGAGAGGCCGGGAGGAGCAGTGTGGCGTTCATCTACTGGTTGTGCCACTGCCGCCGCCGGCGGGAGCGAAGAAAACTGCCGTTCGAGTCGCCAGAACAAGATCCAGCAGCAGAAGAAGAGCAGCAGGGTCAACGGTACGGCGACGGAGCAACAGCTGTGATGATGGTGATTGGGGGCAGACGGGGGAGGCTAGAGAGGACATGTCGGCGCCAGGGTCAATGAGTGGGCCCGAAGGGGACGATGAGTCCTATGAGGGTGTCACGACGGCGGCGACAGATGGAAAGGGAGACAGCAGCGGAAGAATGGTGCTCCACGTAAGAGTGCCGCGCCCGCCGCCGACATCACTGCTGGTATTGAGGTCAGCCCCCCCCTCGACGTGAACCAAAGGGGTGGTGTGACTTAATATAATAGCTTTTAGGATAATATGACTGCCGGCGGAGTGGCACCAGAGCAGCGCCATTGTCAATCACGTTTGAGAAGAGGTCTGTTCTTTTTCGAGTGGAGCGTGGATGTGGCAAGTGTTCAAAACAGTTGGAAGCTGCTGTACACACTAGATAAGCCGGGGGAGGGCGCGGGTCATGTGTGTAAGGTGCTCGTAACGTAGCGAGATGGGGATATTGCATCTTGTTTTCGAGTGAATCCATGCAGCAAGTGCTATACGTTGTCGAACATTTAAGCACAGCTGTTACTCGATATGCGACCGGATATCGTGCATGTTGACGGAGCGCCAAAAGGTAACCCAGAGGGCATCCTTGTCGTAGCCCCAGAGGAGCCGCAACACTATAATAGCGGGTGCACTTAAGTCACGATAGGAACGGAAAGAGGTGAGCATGCACAGCAGGTGTCACCCTTTCAACAGAGAAAAAGAAAAGAAATTACTTTCGTTGAAAAAAAAATGGACAGCATGTTCGTCCCGCCCAATGCTCTCGCCTCAAAAATGGCCTCTGACCCAAATCCCTACCTCAAGCTTATTCTACAAACGGTGCCGCCCCCGACGTCCACCAACCGCAGTTCGTGTGTGCGCGGACCGCGTCCATCAGGCCTACTGCAGCACGGAAGATTCCAGTGCTTAATTTGAATCCGCCTCGCCGCGCAGGGTGTTGATACACCACGAGACAACACGCACCATATGCATAGAAACGGGTTGCCCAACACACACAACCTACATGTACGGATGCCAAAATACAGCTACTACTTGTCACCAGACCGAAACGTCAACTCGCTTGCGCTGCATGCGATTCGCGGCGTAAACATGAGAGCGCGTTCGACAAAATCTGGGAAGAACAACTACAGCAACGACAGGAGCTATAAGTGCCTATGGCACCACTAAAATATTCTAAACCGCAACACACACACGCCCTCCCCAAATCCCGATCATTGCCTGCACACTCTATGTAGGGCAGGTGGTAACTGAAGTGCGTCCTCGCGGAACTTCCCCAACCGTGAGCCCCCCCAGTCCAACCCTTCTTCGTGCAAACCGACCCACCGCAAGCCTGATTCTAAACCCGTTTTTGTAGCTATTCTGGTTTGTCCCCCCGTAACAATGCAGACTGGCGATAGACAAACACGGCAAAACGCACGACTTCCGTGCGCGTCTTCCACTCTAGGTGTCACGCCTTCTTTGGCGTGGCGACCAGAATGTGTCCAGGGGGCGACAGAACGGCTTTCATTTCGGGCGGGTCTCACTGCGGTCACGACTCGAACCCTGCTCCCGCCACAGCGCACACGCACGACCCCAAGTCCTGTACATTTCCTTATCTCTGCTCGTGTCCCCGGCAAAACTTTCAATCAATACACAACATTTCTTGAACATGTTCCAGGACGCACACGGCACCCACCGGCGGTTGGCACTACACGCTCGGAGCACGGTAGGTTGATAGAAACGTCCTAGTTTTTCGTCGCAGCGACCCTGGCCCGCTCATTGCTCGGGTCTGGCCTAGTTAACTCTCGGTTGCGAAATCGTCTTAGATAGATACATCGGACACCTTTGTGGTAACGCTCACTTCACGAGACCCTCTGCTCCAGAAACTCATGCTCCAGACTTTCTGGACACACGCCCCCTCGTGTTCCGGGCGGCACCGCATGCGCAACGCGAAACCAACCAACAGCCATCTTCCGCCATGTCTGCTGTCAGTCGAGCACAACCACCTCGGGCTGCTTCCCCTCGCCGCCGCCACCGCTACCGCTCCTGCTGCGAGTAACTCTGCCCGAACCGCCGCCCCTCGTAGGCCTTGACCCGCTTCCGCCTCCCAGCGGCTTCGCCGCCGCAGCCAACGCCGCCGCTGTCGTCTTGCGCACGGCGGCCTTCCCCTTCCCGGGAACCTTCCGAGGGACCTTCTTCTTCTTCGGCGCGGCCAAGGACAGCTCGGTTGGCGCTGCCTGGACGCTGTTCATCACGTCTGCGGGGAACTTCGCATCGATGATCTCTTCCGGCTCCATGTCTTCGCCCTGTTGGAACGCCGGCGCGTGTGCATTTTCAGCAACGTTAGTAGTATATAGACGGCAGAGACGCATAGATGACTGCACACCCAGAAAAAAACACACTCATACAATCGCGGTCCCACCTACGTCGAATTAGCGTTGTGTGTCCCGCCAAGGCTGGCTAACAAGGTCGATACGACAACGCTTGTTACAGAGTGCGGGCGACGTACATGGTGAATACATGAAACGCATGTACTATCCGTTGAGCGGTTCTCTTGAAATCTGGCACCCAACAAAACAAAGCCGGGTCCTGGGACACACCATCCACCACTCCTCTCCTCCCACCGTGCGGGCATTCACAAAAAACTCGACATCAAAACAGGGTAGCACGCACGCTACACAGACACGACGTAGACACTTCTACGAAAAATTGCCACGACGACAATGGGCAGAATAACGAGACGAGGGCACACACATCAGGCTACCGTGCTGCCACGAAAACAACGACAAGGCTTCGGCGTCACTACCGATGCCCGGTTACACGGCAACTGCCTGACCCACCACCCCCGCTATGATAGCGTCTACTCCTCACCTCCGGGGTGCCATCGGGGTTGAGCTTGTCCCCATCGAACTTGAAGACGCACTCGCTAGCGCGCTCTTGCGGTATCCCGACCTTCTCATTGAAGGCCTCCATGAAGGCCGAGAACTTGGTACCCTGGCGGCGGGAGGGGGGAGGGGTGTGTGTGTGTGTGTGTACTCATAGTCGTACATGCCGTAGTCGTTAGACCATTGACCTCGCATCCCTACAAAGCCGGGACGGAGGACGCCGGGTTCTCACCGGACCAGGCTGAGGGGGGAGGGGGGGGGTCGATTTTCACGTGACAGGGGGGGATTAAGTCGCGCGGAGGCTGTCGAGGAAACGCACGGAAGCTAACACCAAATCAACGCACAACCATACATGAGCGGTACTGCTGTACCAACTATGATACCAAAAACAAAACAAAAAAACTGCTGGCTCACCTACAAAACAAAAGACGCCTCCTGGCTTACCGTGGTGGTGGTGACCATGAACGCCTTGCCGCCTTCCACGCGGAGCTTGAGGGTTATCGGTGCGCCCGAAGCGCAGTCGCCGCCGCCGCCGCTCCCACCCTTTACGTCGAGGCGGAGGTCGACCCTGCCTGGTGGGATGCCGGACTCCCTCAGGGTCTTGCCGCTCTCCAGCTGTTTCTCCTGCAGAGGGGGGGGGGGGGGGGGTGTAGCAAGGACAAACAACGGTAGCAGCAGCGGAGGGAGGGGAGAGCGTGATCAGCGGGTATTAGGATCAAGCCCATCCTTGGGGTAGGCTTGATTGCCTCCCTGCGCCGTCTGCTTTCAACCTGCCAATATCCTCACTGCCAGTGATTGGTCGAAAATGTCATCTTGTGTGCGATAGCATGGCGGCCCCGCGGCCCCACGAGAACCGCCACGCGCTGGGTTTTCGTCACCCTATACCCTTCATTTTCCTTTTCAAACACCGCTGAACACACGAGCAAGCATTCGCGTGAAGTAAGCAAGCACTCCACTACCCCTAGACCTTCCCTCGTTTTCATCCACTCCATTACGCCGAAATCCTCAAAGGCCTGTTTGGGCTGGCTACCCCTGCGATGGCGGCGTGGAGTTGTGAAGAAGCATTCAACACCACCCTGACCAAAACCGCCGCGCTTTCACAGCGCGTCCGACAGTCCCCCCCCCCCCCCCCAAACGCCCCCCCCCGGTGTTTGCCATCGGGGTTGGGTTTTCGTCGCTTGGCAGTGATGTCGTAACACAAGCCGATCACTTTGTAAGTTCAGCAACCAGGTTACCGCTTTTTTTTTTGCCTTTTTTTTTTTTGCGGGTAACCATGAATGGTGGTCGAGCAGATTATGTTGTGCGGAGTCGAGAACCCTCAGTCTGCGCAAAGGGGACGATCGCACGTTGTGTAAAAATGGTCAAGCACCCTCGAGGCAGTTACACAGCACTTACAACTGTCTTCGGAAGTGAAAGCACCAGAAAATAAATCAAATCACACACAGCTGTCATCCGTACGCAAAAGGAAGTAAGCACAAGATGCCAAACACCCTTAGCAGGATGCAGCGCATCCTTCATGCGACTCGCCGAATACCTCACGGAACTTCGCGCTTGGTGATGTGAGAGCCTGGTCCGGTGAGAACCCGGCGTGCTCCGTCCCGGCTTTGTAGGGATGCGATGTCAATGGTCTGTAATAATGACTACGGCATGCACGACTATGAGGTATCCCCCCCCCCCCCCGAAAACGACTCGACGCAAACAAAAGCAACAACCACGCACACCTCCCCCCCCCAAATAAAAACACAACACGGACACAAGCAGACACTAACACAACGGCGCACCTTCCAGAAAAGAGCGACCTCCGCATCCTCCTCCTCCTCCCGGGAGACCAAGATCCGGGTCTTCCCTACACTTCTCCTCAACCACCGATACGAGCGTACCGAGCTTCGTGTGGAAGAGGTGCTGCTGCTGCTTGCTCCTCGTCACCATCAACTTCACCCCCTTCTGGTTCTGCTCGCGCTCGCGCCTCGCAGCGGTCTCCGCGGACACGACCGGCGAGCCAGTCGCGACGCCTGACGCCCTTAGACGCCCCATTACGGTCGGGGCCATGTCGATGTTGGTGGCGTCCGCGAGCTTCTGCTTCATCCGCCTGTAAAGGGGCGGGGTAAGAGGTTGTCGTCCATGAGTGCTGTCGCTTTCTCACTGGTGCGACGAACCGCAGCCTGGCATGTGAACGTCGGCGGCTGTCCGAGGAATGCTCTATATCATATTATACATGTGCTTCGCACGCGAGCTTCTCGAGCACCACGACTCTCGTCGCCCCTGCCGCGTCGTGTGAGGTCGACGCGTAGACTGCTGTACATGTCACAACTGCCACAAGAACGATTTCCGTCGATAGCGACACAACTACAGTGAAGACCGGGTTCGTGTAGTTGCGGAATGCCCGTTGGGCAAGGAGAGGGGGGTGCACTTGACTGAGCCGGGGTAGGTACAGGGAGATGATCGAAGCTGTGCTGGGGCATAGGAAATGGGTTGAAGAGGCGGGAAGTGATATCGACAGGATAGATAGGCTGGGCAAAAAGATTGTTGAGCTACCTTTGGCAAAGTAGGAAAGAACAATTGGCCACCGGCAATCGGTCCTGTAGGAACAATGCTCCGACCTCTTGAGGACGCGTGGTCAATGGTCTAACCGCTAAGGCAGCAAAACATGAGAGTACCCCCCCCCGGGTATTAGGTATAGTCGTGCCTACCGAATGTGAAAGGTTAAGGTTTGGCTAGCCGGGATGTTTAGTGGTATTCTGGTTTGGCACAGCAAACGCAAGGATGGTGACCAGCTCGTCCTTTTGAAGCTGGCCTGGGCCGGCGAAAACCCGGCGGCGTATCGCTCCGTCCCAGGATGCGAGGTCAACGGCCCAACGACTACGGCACATGGGTACCCCCCCTCCTTGGCAAATAAAAACACACCGATTGCTTCACACAACCACTCGCCTGGCGTACGCCTGGTCTTCCTTACTGGTGGCAGCCCGCGAAGAGCTGCAGCCACCTCCGTCGCTGCTCTCCAGGAGAGCGTCTACCTTCGCCCGCACCTGCGCATCGAGCTCCTCCGCGGTGGGCGCCTTCTTGCGCCGTTTCGGGGCCGGCCTGGGAGGGGCGCCGAACTCGTCGTCCGAATCTGACAGCAGGTCGATCGCCTGTTTTCGCCCCCCGGCGTTTC